ATTGATGTTAGCAGTAGAACTGCTGTGTATGAATTCTTGTTGTTTGCATACTTCTTTGTTCTCTTGAGTAGATAAGCAATACCAAATAGCAATATGGTGTCTGGTTTTGATTGTCGTTCACTGTGCAAAATTTTATGGTTCAGCTGATCTGTAGATAAATCACCAATTTTTTTTTTTTTTTTTTTTTTTTTTTTTTTTTTTTTTTTTTTTTGATGGGAGGTCATTTTGTGGAAAAGTGAACATGTTGAATGAAGTACATAGGTGTTATTTTATTATTTTTTATTTATCATGTTGTTTTTTCAAATTCTTTTTAAAGCGTGGTTTAACTTTAAAGAGTATAAGTAAGATGTATATGTTATAAGAATGTTAGGTATGTATACTTGGGAGAAAGAATAAGATTCCAATGATTGATAGATGCTTGAAGGAATGTTGGTGGAGTTCATTGATGTAAAGTGTGCTTAATGATTTGGCCAGTAACAATGAATTAATCAAAGAAAATTCTATACAGTGACAGTATCTTAAAAGTTTTAGATAGTCGTAAATTAATTTTTTCTTACAGTACATTACAGTAGAACTAGGAACCATCAAACTGTTATATATCCTTTAGTAAAATTATATTTAATATAGGTATATTTTTATGTACAGTGACATATAAAAGATAGTGATTTATGAATAAGACATTTTGTCTATCTGTACTCTTAATGTGTTTATGTTCTGTGCAAGGGATAGTATCATGTAAAAGGCTTACTTATGTAACTAGATATATCCATCTACATAGTTTGCCAAAAGTACTAAATTTTAGTGATAGTGATTTTGTTTGAAACTTGTATAATTATTTACCTTGTTATTTCCTGATTTTTCTTTTTGAATTAAATGTTTAGCAAAATGTGTTTACAATTTTTAATGTTAGAAGAATATTATGCTTCATTTTTTATGTAAGCAAGTCAATGCTAGATTGGTTATATTGCTCCAATATATGGCCAGTAAGAAAACTTGATCCAGTGTTTTTTATATCATTTCTGTGTAAATATATATATCGAATTAAAATAGCTAGAATAACTTTCAGTACTATTCTCCTGGAGTATCACAGACACACTAAGTCTTATGAATCCTGATTTTTTAAGAAAAATTATGATGAAGCAAAGGTTAAAGTGAGCAGTGCCATTATCCTCTTGTGCTTACATGTAATTTTAGAAGAAAAGAATTTTGAATTTCTGTAGCATGAACTTCAAAATATTGTGGTTTTAGTTCCAACTTCAAAGGAGGACATTTTGTATTTTTTTGTATGTTTGTATGAAATGTGCCATATTTTTTCCCTCCACCAAAAACAGTTCATATTGCATATCTATGTGATGGAATTATTGTACCCCAAGCATAAGGGCTGTGGGTACGTATGGTTTAACCTCATGCCATCTCATCCACCACTTGTCAGTAAATACAAGTCAGCTGTTACTGCATCTCCTCAAAGTAAATTGAAACTTCAACTTATGAATATATATGAATATATTTCAACTTGAACATGTTAGATTTTGGTTTCAATCAATGTATTTACATAGCAGTGACACTTGTCACAATGCATCCATATCCATATTTTTTTTTTTAATATTAAATGTTTAATATCTCCCAAACCACAAGAAATATGGTAACAGTTCCTACAGAAATCTGTCTGAAAGTTATGTTTAATATTCAAGTCTGACCTTCGATTTGACCATTGACCTAAATTTCAGTGGCAAATGGGATAAAATTTTATTTTATTATTTTCCTTTTTTGTGTGTAAAAGAAATATGTTAGTGCTGATTATTCAGAAACTTAATAGACTCACACACTTATATTATGGTGAGAAATGACACTCAAAGTCTCTATTCAGTTGTGTGAGTTTGGGATTGAATGATGCATTTTCACAAGAGAAACAGATGCAAACTAAAAACTCCTTTATTAAAAATCACAAAACGTAGGGACCTGTTGTATGTTGCTTTCTGGAAAGCTCACAGAGTGCAAAACCTGTGGTGGTGTCCATTTTTTTTTTTTTTTTTTATTGTTTCCTGTCCAATTTAATAGTTATCAAAAAGTATGTCACAAAGTATTGCCTTTCTGACCCCGTTTTATTAGTGTTATTGCCCTTTTATATGCATAATCCAGCTGGTGGTACGTACTTAGAAGGGAGCTTTGCCTCTCTGATCATCTAGTTTAGTGTGATCCATTTTAAGGTGAAAAGAAGACCTCTTTTGGTGTACCTCACATGTGGGGCTTAGAACTATTATGTCATGATCAGCTTGTCTGATTGGCATTTTGTACAACTGCACTATTTGGGTGAAACCTACCAGTAGTAGCACTTAAATTTGTCAGTTAAAGGGCATTAAGGGCAAATTTTTATTATTATTATTATTATTATTATTATTATTGGCATTAAACAATCCATGATATCTTTGCTGATTTTGCTACGTGTTCCACCCATTTTTCTTTTTCAATATAAGGCTCAGTTTGGACCTCTCACTCATTTTGTGTAATAGATACGGTATGTTTGAAATTGTGTGGATTTGAAACAGATTGATTCACAAGTTGTCTGTGATTCACCACTGCAATTGTTTTCCTTTTTTAAAAAAAAAAAACTTTTAATGAAACTGATGGTATCAATATTTATAGGATTGTTTTAGGATTGTCCTTCAAACTAACAAAGATAATGTATTATATTTTACTCTAGTAGATGACACGTGTAACTGATTTTAGGAATTATTAGTGAATCTAATACTTAAAAAATTCTGAGTTTAGACATGCCATAGCAGATATCAAAATTTGACTTTACAAGAAATGCTTTTTAAATGTCCTGCCAAGCAGGCCATTTCAGCTGCAAGAAAATGTGTCATTTAAAAGGTAGCATTAGTGTGAACCTCACGATTTAAATGTATAACAGGTTTGTTCGTTACATTTAGTTCTTGTTGTGCTGTGAAGCATTTTGAAAATGTTACTCACTGTATAGTCACATTTTGATTTGTGGAATACACTGTAGCCATCTGTTTCTTGCTTTCTTTGTTATTATTTTGACATTTTAAGCTTCTTAAAAATCAAATTGCCAGTAAAATATTGTGTTTTATCAATTTAATCACTACATTATGCTGCAATACCTCTTCCCTGGCGGTAGTTCAGTATTTCAAAATGATAAAGTTTGTAGCAGTAGTTGTATATGATAAGCATGGATAGGTAACTCTACTTTTGATCATATTGGTAAATTATGTGTACTTAATATAGATGTATCATACTAACACATTTTTTACATACAAGTATTATATAAAAACTTACACCGAGAAGAAACTACTGAGAAGCCACCGCCTATTTATAAAGCTTTGTACTGTATCAATGAGTTGATTGAATAAATTTGTGAAAAAAAAATCAGTCTTTTGGTGGATCATTTGAAAATTTGAGCATTTCATAGCACAGCATTATACAGCCAAAGGTATTGCAATGTAAAGAACCCTTGTATGGTTCTATATTATTGTCAGTCACCACACTTTGTCTCACCAGGGCATTTCAAAGATTCCTGTGTGATTCATACCTGGTCAGCAGCAATCTTCAGAAAAATGTTTCACTGAAAAAAGTACTACTACTACTACCCTCTTGGTAAATTAAAACAAAAATAAAATTGTCAAAATGCCTGAAAAATTGGGGGGAAAAGTGCATTTCACCATAAAATGTAGGTCAAAATTCAAGGTCATATTTTAATTGCCATTTAGACCTATATGTGATTTCTTGTTTGAGTTCTATAGTAAAACTTACATTGCATATTTTCTAGTTTTGGAGATACAAGGGTCAAAATACTGGAAAAGTGATTTCACATTGTAATATTGGTCAAAGTTCAAATTCAAGGTGGATTACCAAGAGGACTTGCTATTCAAGTTTCTGCTAGCAATGGAAATATAAGGTCTAGTTTATTGTGAAAGTGCATTTCACTGGGGAAGTTGGGCCAAAATTAAGAGACGGGGTCATGTGAACACAATATCCAGCTTCCATCCTCAGTCGTATATACAGAGAAGTATGGTGGGTAAGCTTTGACCAAGTCCCTCTTGTAGTTTAAGAAGACAAATGTGACAAACAGTTCTGTTGGTGGATACATGGATGAGACTGCCATTTAAGAAGAAAAAGCCTAAAAAAATGGCATGGGTTCTGAATTACCTCCCTTCCCCCCTTCCCATCAACAGTTTTTGTTGCAGATATTTTTGGCTCCCAAACAGTCAGAAATACAGTAGCTGAAAAAACCTTATCCCTGTGGACAGACAGAATGAAGGAATACTGAGGATGTAACATATTACCCATCGGGAGTATAAAGTATAATTTCCGGGGTTTTGGAAACCAACTGGTTTTTAAGGAAAAATTATGCTCAATGTTTATGGGAGTTAACATGAAAGGGTTCTTTGCAGACATTTGCTAACAAAGCACAAATATTGGTATCATTCATTTTATTATTTAACACAATCTTTTCATAGTTATATGTATGAAACAAAATCAAAACCTATCACTCTTTCATATAATTGAAGAATAAGTAAACAACATCAAACAAACCAGCAAAATAAATACATAAGTACTTGTCACACCTAAAGATGTATGACCCCACGAACACGCAACTGGATCCAAATACATTTGCACAGAACTTTCAAATACAAAGAGAAACATACTAAAACTTAAAAATACTTCATGGTTGTACAATCTAAGTGATTGTTATGAGAAGTGTTTGTTAAATGCACACATGTAGTAACTGGCTAAACAAATATCTTTTAAATACTTACAATTTTAGTGAAAATAGTTGATATAACACAAGCTTTGGAGAGTTATTTCCACCCTTAACTTACCTTTAGTCTTAAAGACCGACATCAATGTGCATTAGATATGGGACAAAGGGAATTATTTCTAAATAATTTTATGTAAGATACTAATCAAACTATTCATAATTCATATTCACAACTAGTAACAATGTTTATTCTTGTATTTGTAAAATGTTTCACAAAAAAAAAAAAAAAAAAAACATAACTAGATAACCTGACATGAAATGTGTCAACATGGCAGTATTTATTTCCACTGAAAAAGTGCAAGTTTACAGTTTAACTGTACATAATACAGGTATTCATCATTAAAATTAATTATATATATAACTGACACTACCACACATAAAAGGATTTGTGTCATTATGGATTTCTATTAACTGGGAGATACATTATTTTTATAAATGAAATCGGGGATATTTCAGATATTTTATTTTCATAAAGCAACTTACAGTAGGTATGCTACGGTATGAAATGGTAATAAAAATACTCCAAAACCATCCTCAATTATTTATTTTCAATGTCAACCATTACCACTGTCTTTCACAATTCTCAAAGGTATTAAAATTTTAGATTGCAGGATTTAGCTGTTAGGATCATAGCAGTAGCCTGCCACCAGAGTCATTCAAATGGGCCCATGTCTGCATCCAGCAGTTGTACTGCTTCTTCATTTCAATGGAGAAAATGGGGTTGGTACCAGTATCCTAGACTGCAATGTCCTTATAAGAGGCACTAAAATTGAAGTTTATTATTAAAATATTATTTATCTGTATGCCTGATAAAATAAATGTTTCAATGGTTTCCTTATGCCCCTATTTCACACAGACCACGAATCCCACGAATGGCCATGAAATGACAAATTTCATGATTTCGTGGTTGAATCGTAATCAGTTCGTGAAGTTCTTAACAGATTTGTATATAATCGTAGTAAGTTCTTGCAATTCTTGATCAATCTGGAATTCGTGGCAAAAAATTTGAGCTGTTCATAGTTTTGGCCACATACTCCTGATTCCAAAAAATCGTAGTGAATTTCTGGCCAATATTCATGCGTTTCCAGCCGAATCCCACGAATATTCGTAACACTATCGCACCTGTATCGTAACTGAATCGTAGAGCGTGTCGAATTAGACCAGAAAATTGGCAAAATCTCATGAATCCTAAAATCTGTCAATTCCTGGCGATTCGTGGTCTGTGTGAAATAGGGGCCTTAGATAGGAGTTTACAGGTAAACAGAACTAATTCCAATGATTTACCTGTATAGGCAACAGTTTCATCCCAACCAGGATTCACCCATGCACTCTCCCTGATTTCCTTGCGCTCTTGGAGAGATTTATAGGCTAACAAAATTATAAAATGAATCAAAAGAAGAGACAATACCATATGTGTAATAACATTACAATAACAATGGCAATTATGCTTGATCTGAATTCTTACTACAAATCCTACTTAAATGTGATTACAATATAATGAAATTCCAATTGGAGAGAGATTCAAATTCTAAATAATTCAATTTAAAATTCTTTTACTTAAAAAATAAATATTCAATAATAAAGGTACTTACACCAAAAATGATGGACTTGATGCAAATCTCCAATGTGTGAGAAATATCCAGCTATTGCTTCATTTCCAGACATACGGTGCTTAATTCCACGCTGCCTATAATAGAGAATTTATAATCCTTTAACTAAAAAATCCAAATCCAAATTCTCTCTTCCTAATACATCAACACATAATTATAGAGAAATCTAGTATTTTGGTGTTATCTTCACAAGCACTCGTCAACTGCATAAATGTTCAGAATTTTTTTTATATCACTGACACGATTTCAAGTATTTCAGAAAAGACGTACAAGTAAAGTGAAATTTCAACCCACTTACCAAATATTACCCCATTCAATCATGGTGCCAGGCTGTAAAAGATACCACACACATCAAAAACACTTCTTCCACAATGAACATCCAGCTAGTTTACAAACATACATGTTCCAATGTAAATTTTCAAGTAAATATAGGAACAGCATATTCAATTCAGGAAAACGCAACCATCACACCTACCACAATTTAGAATAAAATATCCACTGAATAACGAAATGAAGAGGAATGTACATAGTTTTTGTAAACTTGCCTTCAGTGTATAAGTTCTCATTTCATAAATATTTCCAGGGTCCTTCTGTACTGGCTCTGGCCAGAAACTAAATCGGAGAACTATCTGATTTCTGCGTGCTCTCAACATCTTGTTTCTTTGCAACCGGAAGTCAATGAAGTCCTGAATGAACAATTACAACATGTCAACTGTGATTACTCTTGACCTGAGGGACAAAAGTGCTCTGGTTTCTTTGAAATCAAAAGTCAATGAAATCCTCTTTATGTTTATCAATTCAAGATAACAAAATGTTTTTACACACACACCAACCCAGGCATGCACACAAGCACACACACATACACACCAGGGGACTTACTTTATCTGTCCTGTATATATATGTTGCATCATTCAACACAGGGTATCCACCTTCATATTTCCATACATGAACTAAAAAGTAACATAAACAGGTCTTCACAAAGACTTTTATTGTTAAATAAATTAAGAATAAAAAACAATAATATTAAATAAATGAAAAATAAATAAATGAAACACTTACACTGCTAATAGGGTTAAAACTGTGCCACTTTACTTGATTAAACAGAATGGTACATGTGAAGAAGTTTTCTACGTAGCACATACTTGCTTCATCTTGATCCCCAATCTCTACTGTCCAGCTGCCAACTAAGCTTGCTCCAGTATCTTTTGACTTCATAAGATCCACAAATGTACCACTGAAGATACAGACAAAAGGACACAAGATAAAAACAAGCATTCTTCATCAAAGACGAACCTTGTATAAAAGTAGACAACTTGAAATAACTGACACTAAAAAGAGAGGATCCTGCCAAATGTCACAAATACCGAAATTACATCAATCTTCATTGCATGAACTATTCAAAATACCTAATCTCTACTTACAACTGCTTTAGGTATGCTTCCATGCATTCTGGCTTCACTGAATGGACTGAAATCAAATAATACAACTAGGAAATTATTTATATCTTTTAAATAATACAAATATAAATCAAGCTAATTCAAATCAAAAGAATAATCATTATAGAAAATCACTGCTAGGTACTAGAGATATATACATATATAGCAAATCTATTTTTGATAATATACTGATCTTTTAAATTTCCATACATTGTATTTGATATACATCTCCTGGCTCTGACAACAGTTTAGATTGAGTCACATGAGTAGCTTCTATTTTACGAACAAACAAGCTGCTAAAAAGGCCTTGTTTCTTCCCATCTTCACCATCTGCTTGAAATGCAGGAAATGTTGTGGACAGGCACCTAAAAGGGAAGTGTTTCTACACTATTAAAGATATTATCCAGACATAAGTTTGTAAAATATCATGCAAAAATGCAGCCTGGTCTTCATATTGCAGATTGGCATTCTTCTACCTGGGAAAAAATAAACACTGCACACAATGTTATATTTAAAGTGCATAAAAACATTTGTGAAATTCAATCTGTTAAAAAAGATATGAAAAAGTGTATGCAGGGTTGCCAACAAAGATTTCAAAACAGCTACTGGTACATCTGTTTTCTCTTGTGTCATTTCTGATTGAATAATGCTAGAAAAAAAAAGAAATAAGTGGCCCAAATACAAATTTCAAGCCTTATATATACAGTTGGCAACCATGCTTTCAAAAGCCTGCAAGCAAATTGGATTTGGTGCATTCATACCAAATATTGGAAGGAAAGGAAGGAAGCAAGATTGGGGCACACACACTCAGCAGAGCACTACATGCTACCCAAACCTATGAAATCTTCTTACTAATTATCTCATAGACATTCTCCATGTCAGACAGGGCCTTTGACTGGGGCTCCTTTCCAGTCTCTACTTCACGAACAAATAGCTTGCTAAATATACTAGGCTTCTTCGTTCCTTCTCCAGACTGAGAAAGTGGCACAGATGCAGAAACTTTTCTGCAAAAAAATTGACATACCCAGTAAATAGTAGAATATAATGCAAAATGCTATTGCTAGTTGATAAGTCAAGACATTTTCCCATTAGTATAAGCAGATACTATAATTTTTTAAGAGTATAGAGGAAAAAACAACAAAAGCCACATTCTCTGGTACTTCCCATTTAATTATGTTTTAAAAGGAAAAAAGTAGTTTCAATAGCAAGACAATATAATATGCACTGTGAATAAATATTCGCCACGTAAGCACATATAAAGGTGACGATAAATAACAGAGAAAAGCCACAGGAAAACGTGAATTTTTACAACGTCAACAACTTAAGCAAGTCAAGTATGTGTAAACATCTTTTTACAAAATAAGGTACATCTGATGACCGTTGTAAATTGTGGCGCATTTTTCTAACATTCTTTCGATCTGAGGGGCACAAGCTCAGAATAATACTTACCTTGATAGTTGTATTACCGGACAATGACATTTTGCAAGTGCAGGTGATAAAGACAAAGTTTTACGCAGCAGAAGTGCCTTGGTTGGAACAGCCATTTTACTAGTTCGGTCAAGGTCGTTTGGTATCTTCGTCAATATCCGCCACCATTCGGAAAGCGTCGTGGGCATAGTAACAGCGCCATATTGGATTAAGTGACAGCACATAATCACTTGTACTGTTTTATTTATTAATATTTTTTAAGCCCACGGCCAAAATGACAGTTAATTTGGAAGAATACTTTGCAACAACTTTCGAGGACAAGCTCCTTGTGTAAGTATTTATTGACAGCAGAAACCTGGCATTTAAAATTGTTCAGAGACGGGAATGGAGGCAAACTTGGGTCAGATTTCCAACTTAACAAATGCCGAGTGGGGTTTTCAATAAAAACAACTTACTTTTTACTTTTAAGTGGTCCCCAGAGTTTTTGGTGTTTAGTATTTTATGCATGCACCAATGCTTGTAATCAATGTACACATACATTTAAATTAGAATGTAACAAATATCAAGACTTGATATTTATAAGACTTGCCAAGGCATTTAGACCATGGCATAAACTCTAGGGCAAAACAGCATGTCATGAAAGCTAGGAGTCTGGCATGATGTGGCCAGGGTGGCAAGAGTGATAGCACACTAGAAACCATTGTCAGCTCCCCATTAATTTGTACAGGGGACACTTGTCCCCACTAACCCTCAGACTTCCATTTGTAGGACTGCCATTCCTGTCACACCAGCCCTGGCCCTGATTAAAATTGTCATCAACTTTTGCTATATATTCTATGCTGGCAGACATACTGTGTTACCCTCTATTCATTTGATCAAACTGAGGATGTTTCAATGACTAAGTTTATTAATTCCTATTCCATGTGGCCTTCATTTGTGTTGTGAAAGAAACTGGTACTGATAGTTTATAAACGTTTTAAGGGCATTTACTCTTGCTTCATAAGATCCTTAATGTGAAAATCATTGTCAGTTTGGACCTACATTCCAAACAGAAATATCTTTATACTTTTCCTTATTTTTCACCTCTCTTTTCATGTATGCCACATACAACTAAAAATCAAGGGGTTTATGCTGCTGATAATGCTGTAGATTTAGGGAGTTTACTTCATCAACATGAAAAGCTACAGTGAAATCAAAATAACGTGAAACTCATTTTAAATATTTGCAGAATGGAATGCATGGTGAAAATTGCATTCCTGTCTGAAAAGGGAAAGGAAAAAGCATGTGAAAATGAGACTAAACAGTACCCCTAATCAAGCACGAACTTCCACTTTTCAGGATACATGTACATATAGCTCCTGTTTTTATCATGAAAATAAGGATAGTCAGTGCACCACCCTTCACAGTATCTGAGATATGTTCAAGATTCTGAAGATGGTGGTGATTTGGATGACAACATTTCTCCCATCTTTTCATTGTTATTTCATCTTTTTTTATCATTGCATCTCTATTTTCAAATAAATACACTCAAGAATCTGCCTCCAAAGTTTGACAAGTACACATGTGACAAATAAGACACGCTGTCATAAGTTATGGATCATATTATAGAAACTTTGTTGCAGCAGAAACTGCTTCAGTTTTAAAAATATTCTTTGAAATTAATTATCAGATAAATAAAAACTGAAATGACACCTTGGAACAATATTTATTTGGATGTATTTTAATTCATAAGAAATCAACCAATCACCCAAGCATGGGAGAAATTATTTGCCTACACATAAGAGACACCATCTGATGAAAGTGACAAATTGATTGGTAGCATAATGAAAGCATTTTACAAGGTTTTTTTGTCTCATGACTGTATATTTTAACATATTTATATATACAAAATCAGTGTTTCAAGTTTTTAATTCTCCTCAAATAGAAAGATGCCAGAGCGGGAAGATGACCATCTTACTCCTGCTACCCGGCTCTTGGAGAAGAGGCGTGAGATGGCTGAAGTTGAACAGGCTCTGGCAGCACAAAAAGAAGAGTTTCAAATGAAAATGGAAAGTTTACAACAGAGAAGAGAGGAGTTGGAAAGAAAGGAATTTCAACTAAAAGAAGCTCTTTTGAAGTTTGATAAATTTCTCAAGGTAAAAAAAAACTGACATAAGCTATTATTTTATTACCAAGTTCAATTTGATGATGCTGTCCACATAAAGCCTTTAGCCACTATTTTTAAATGCTTACTTCAGGAGCACAAAGCAGAGAGAAAAAAGAAAAAAAGACACACACACACACAAAACCTGGAGACATAACAGCTTGTGAATTATGCTTTCTGTTATTGACTATTGGCATGTAATCAGGTTTGACTAATTACCAGTGAAATCATCAGGTGATTTCTGGAAAAAATTACTAGAGTCTCCTATTTAGACAGATGTGCTGACATGTTGTCTGTATTTACATTCTTATATCACATTATTTTTAGGAAAATGACTCCAAAAGGTCAAGAGCTGTCAAGAAAGCCAATGATGAGATTGATCTGCGTAAACAAAAGGAAAAAGACATAGACAAGTAAGTCATATATATTTCTACCATAGATAGTGTACAGTTCCTGTCAAATTGCTTGTAAACAAATACTCACAACATTGTCTGTTGGGCAGTGACTAGATTAGTGTATAGTAAGGTGTTGTTTTTTCTCTATGAACTACCTGGCACCAAGAAGACCATGTTTGGTTTCGTCTTATCCACTGTTAATGGCAGTTGTAGCATAGAAAACAAGATAAATCACTCACTTTTCACTTACAGGTTAAGAGAAGAGACGTCAGAGTTTGCCAAGCAGAGGGAAAAGCTCCAAACAAAACTGGAAAAACATGTAATCTTCCAGAAGTATTTAGACAAGGTCTTGGAGACTTCAGAAGAATTTAGTGAAATCCGAGAAGTGATTGCAAGATATGCAACGCTCACTGCTACTCATGAGGTAACCTTTTGATTCACAGAAGAGAAATCTATTCTTAAGTCTTCTAATACATTTCACCACTTACCCCACAAATGAATTATCAGGTTGTCCTAATGGTTCTGAATGTTTTGGGGGTCATGTAAAGATTTAGGTTAGTGTTAGCTTATCTATTTTAAGACCACATTACATGTTTCTGAATCCAGATTACATTAACAGAGATTTCAAACCTGGAGTATTTTATAGAAAGAAGATGAAACCATTTTTGATAAGGATCAGATTACTTTAAAGTCATTAAAGTGAAAAATGTCATTTTGATACACAGTACTAGTACTATGTTGACCCATCAACTTATTTTGTTTATTTATTCATTTATTTATTTATTTTTTAGGATTTATTGGAGAGAGATCAAGCTAATCAAGAAAAAATTGAAAAAATGAGACAGGATTTAATGAAATACACAGAAGTAAGTGTACAGAAGGAATACAATGAAAATTCAACTGTAATCCCCTTTGATAATATTCAAGTGCATACATGTTTGCAAAGTTGTTAATTTCACAAATACTAGTGTTAGGAATATTAGCAAGTGTCCTGCATAAAAAAAGTATATTATTATTTTGTATATTATGCTTTGATATTATATTTTCCCTTAGGATAAGCACAATGAAATCTTAGGCTATAACAACCGTTTATCAAGTCTCCAAACAAGATTAGACAAAGCCCAGAGTGCTGCAGTAAAATGGGAATCAAAGTGGACCCACATCAAAAATACTGCTGCCAAGAAAACTCTTATATTAGGTCAAATTAAGATGTAAGTGATAAAATCTTTCATTGCCACTGTGAATTGGAAGTTTTGTTCATATGTAAAGAAAGTTAATTTTATATATTGATTATAAGTTTAAGGACTTCCCATAAATTACACAGGATATGATAATTAATTTTTTGCTTCTAGTAGTACTTTTTCTAAGATACTGACCAGCTTCCATGTGCCTGTGTTTTTTTTTTCAGGGCCACCCATAATTTATTCATGTTGGTAAACAAACACCAGAAACAAGGCCAAACAGAAATGACAGAGGATACTAATGAACAGTTGAACAAGGTAAGCATTTTAACCCATGTGAAATTAGTTGTAGTTTTGTAAACAGATTTTTCACAGAACCGCCCAACTTTGAACAAACTGCTGAGTAATGCATGATATGAGTTGTGAAAATTGATAATTTTGGAAATAGGGAAAATCCTAGAATGTACAATTTCCTTTGATTTCTTTACAGATTCAGACATTCATCCAGGACTTGACACAAATCACTACAGAAATTAAGAGGTCAGAGGCAGCAGCTACATCTATAGGAGGAACATCAACACAATAGACATACAGGGATATGTATATGTATGTGACAGAACTGAGCATGAATGCAGAAATAATTTCAAAATATTATGGTGCCAATGTACATTGTGAAATATTTAACACTGTTCATGTATGGTTTGCCACATATTGATCATAACTGGAAACATTTCAGCTTGGAAGCAATTTGGTTTTATTATATGAAAACAGTAATTTTGGGTGCAATCTATCCAAGTTAAATGCTGTCACAAAAATGTGATATGATCTGCAGTAAAACATCCGTCAGCTTATGTTTATTTTAGTAATAATGATACATGTAAATATAGCTATGACTGCTCTTATGATAAGTGATGTTTATGTAATAATAAAATCTATATTTGTTATACATGTAAGGTATCATTTATTTTGATAATGAAGACGTAAACGCCAACAGCGACGAATGCCTAAAAAAAGAAAACCCTAATGCAACACATTACTGAATACATGACCGCAGGGGCAGACGAGGCTTTTCTCAAACCGTGCAAATACACTAAAAACGTGTGACTAAAAAAATCTGGCCACATTCCTAAATCGCAGAGTACATCTTCTAAATAGCACTTGCACATGTAGTACTTAACATTAGCGTTGAACTTGATATTTTGGTAGGTCATGTAAAGGACTGCATACAGATTTTTCATTGACTCAAGCATTTACACCATGTAATTCATCTGTCAAAGCCTGTATATATTAGTCAGTACACATATTTTCAATGCTAAATCACATTAACAAGTATCAGGAGGATCGCCGCCAATTTCTCCTAAATTCAGAATGTGCCCACTAGATAACGTCAATATCTACTAAACTGATAAGTTATTTCAACGTAGTCTCTTAATTATACACATTCCACCGTCTTGGTTTTAATCAATGGGATCAATAATCAGTAACCGGCTCGGTTGATTCGATTTAATTCGTTCAGTTCGATCAAAGCCAGGTTTACAAATATTCTCATAATTTTGTTCCGATTTAGTTACTTTCTGTCACTCCTTTCTTTATAGTTACAAAAAGTTTGACAAAGATCACCCGATTTTTTTTAGAGATCACTGGAAACTCGCCACTTTACTATCAGGTAGGAGACGAGTTTCCACTGTCTCCTGAAATTCAGAGTGCCGTCGGTGCGTCTCACTACGCATATGTAGCCGTGCCGTTCTCTACCTTGATGTCGCACACCGCTTCACTCCACGCCCACAGCTTTTGAGCCATCTGTTTGTCTTTGGCATGGGCTGGTAGTTCATGAACTTGGCAATCGACAATGAAACACCCAGTGAAGTCGTCCATCCCGTCAGATAATGCGGCATGCAAGGGGGTTTGGGCGCCCTCAGTGGTGGAACGAAAACAGAGGAACGCAACAAGGCGAAGCAAAAAGCCCCCGAATCCTGGCCACGAACGCAACAGATCCGATTTAACGGGACCTTTCAATGAAAAGAAAAATATTAATGTGGAAAAAAATGTGCAACGTTTACATACGAACTTATTTTAGAGATATTTTTGATAGATTTTTTCCTTTATTTCTTCCTTATTTTGGTCTCTCTCTCTCTCTCTTTTCAACCTTAATATTTCTTCAACGCTGTTTATTTGACAAGGAGAGTCATACAGACATTTGCCATGTCAGGGGTACTTTACGTACTTCAAGAAATTTGGCAGCATTTTCATGACGTAATCGGCACATTTCCTTTTCTCACCTGTATGCACTGACAGGGGGATCACTCGGGTGCCGTCTAATGTCTTCGCTAGTTCCGCGGTAAACAGCATGACTGCTAATTTACTGCGTCCATACGCGCCATAATAAGTGTACCTTTCTGGGTTCTTCTCGTAATGAGGATCTTCAAGGTCAAGCGTGCAGGAATTTTTAAGGAAAGCGTCTGAGGATACGTTTATTATCCTACTAGGAGCCGACGCTTTTAACTTTGGTAATAAGAGATTCGTCAACAAAAAATGTCCTAAGTAATTAACCGCTAGGCTGCGTTCAAATCCGTCTTCGGTTATTGACCTCGGGCCTAAGTAACCTGAAAATTGAAGAAAATGGGCCTGTTGCACATTATTCTGTAATTCATCGGTGCCTTAGATTTTCGTCAAAGTAGTGAATGGCCTAATCATCTGTGCTTTTTCAAATTGACCAACTGTGATGAAGAAGCAACCACAAAAAACCACAAAAAAGTGTATACTATCATACGCACACCACAAAAAAGTGTATACTATCACACCGGATGCAGGCGGTTTCTGTTTTATCAATTTACCTGTCCAAAATAAACTAACAAATTAATACTTTCTCGCGGCAGGCCATTTCGTAAACGGACAAGGGTAAAAAGTATTTTCTCACCTGCATTATTAATCAGCAAGTCTAACCTATCCTCCAAACTTTCAAATTCCTTCACAAAATATCTGACCGAACGTAAACTGGCAAGATCGAGCTTCATGAAATGCACATTCGAGCTTGAAGAAAGTTTTCTTATCTCGTTGACGGCTGCCTGGGCTTTGATGGGGTTCCTGCAGGCAAGAATTACCTTGCAGCCACGTTTGGCCAGGTCGAGTGCGATGGCCTTGCCTGTTCCTCCGCTAGACCCTGCAACAAATGCAATGATTAAGTTTGACAAAAACAGAATATCCCAAATGGTACACAGCCTTCCCCATCTTCATCTTCATTTTTCACTTACAAAAGATGTACCGTAGTCTCAGGAAATGATCTTAGTTTAAATAATTTTTTTAGTGTTTAAAATATCCGACATCTCCAACACTGCAATGTCGCGTCAGTTCAAATAGGTTTGTGTAGATAAATGCTGTTGTCTAGGGTATGACGCTAATGGACAAATTTGTGCTACTTTTCAGCTCTTGCATTCGGAAGGGATAAGCAAGTCTTTTGTTACAGACCACTTAGGCGAGTAACGGTTGGATAAGCGTACTCTCTGAGTGGAACGTTAACTGGGATTATTTGTGGCCATTATTAGCCACGATAGTATAACTTAACACATATTGAGGAACACATTTTACACATCTTACAGAACATATTTCAATTAAACATTCGTATTTTTATTTTCGTTATAAGTTTTAACTGACACTTGTTTGTCAAAATGTTACTTTTCAAATTGAAAGTTGAGTCAAGGTGAACCTTTTTTCTTTTCGAAATGTGCCTTGAAATGGACATTTTTTCAGTTACCTGTAATAACAGCGGTTCTGCCATCCAATCTGCGTTTGCTGGTACACCAACGCGTCTTCCTGAGGTAAAACCTTAATACAAAAAGCACCAACAGAGGTGAGAATATGACGGTCAAGAACAACCAGTGCCACATCATGTCTATCGAGATTACTCCTCAGCTTTAAGCTTGAATACCCCACTGCCTCAAAAGCTTTATTCCTTTTCCATCGACGATGCCGTCGTTAGGACCACTGCCAAATAACATTAAGCGCCTATCAGATTTTAGTTTACAGTCACATTGACTCACCCGGGGCGGATCCAGAATTCTCGGGAGGGAGTACACTTTAAATTTATCTCTATTAATAATTTTTTTTAAATAAATATATTAAACTAGGTTTCGTATCTTTTTTTGCCTATCTTTGGCAACAACGCATCAGAGTGATAATATTTGTCAAATTGTTAATGGTACGCTACCCATGGGGTGCAACTTTGGAAGGGGCCAGTATTGGCGTCAGTAAAAGGATATATAACACAGTAGAGCAGTATAAAAATTGACGGACATCAAATTTTATTTTGAGGCACATCTTAATTTACACCTGACTGTAAATCTTAACGGGTTTTATTAAAATAAGCCCATTTTAATTTCATTTCAATGATCAGGTGCGCCATTTCAAGATCATTTTCTTTATGTTACCTATGCGAGTTCTTGCCAAACGAATTTCTCATTTGTGATATCCCCTACGGTGATTGAAATTGCGACCAGTAGAGCGGGACATAACCGAAGTTGAAGTTGGATGATCAATATGATTATGAAGAGTGGTACGGACGATCTGACTGCCAACTTGAAAAGACTGAAAAATTTTATATCGGTTTTGCAGCAAACCTGTTTGCTACTAGTACCGCGTATCTACAATACTCATCTTTTTGCAACAACGCATCGGAGTGATATTTGTTTATGGTATGCTTACCCTACCCTTTAATATCAGGTGCTCCTAAAACAGTATACAAAATTACAGTGTGAGCCATTCAACATTTTTGTAACTAACTACGAGCGCACCCTGTGGTCAGAGAGTACGCTTACCCTCAGGGGTGCAGGTTTGGGAAAGTCTAGTTGATAACTTCATAGGAAAAACACGTTTAAAACTGAAACGTATTGGGGCAAGCACAAATTCGTCAAAGTTTTTTTTTTTAATTTTCAAAAATAAATGCATTTAGAGAGGTAGTATTTAGCCCGCCGACCTTTTAAAGGCGTAGGTTTCCGTCTGCTTTAATTTTAGTCTGCTATTTACCATTCACTGACAACGATTCCTGCGTGAATTCCAATCGCAAAATACAACGTGTTAATGTAAACAAAATTGGCGGTAGACGAGAAAGAGAGGTAAAATCTAATTGCAAAGCACGCGTTTAAAGCCAGATTGTAGGGCTTTGCTCGTCTAAACACAGATGTAAAATTTTAAAGATTATGTGAAACTAATTGTCTATAATAATTAGTCGGGACTATTTTTAAGATGGGCAAGTCGCTTCCAATCCAATCACTCCCCCACACTAAAGAATTATCGGACGACTGGCAAATTACTTTACGTATTCTGCTTGTCCCCCTGTTCGAAAAACAAATTCAGATTTAAACTGCCGTTATAGTAAATAAGCATTCAACCTTAGTAACGCTCTTAAAATTTGAAATATTTATAAATTCTAGGAGAAAATAAACGAAAAATACCGGTAAAAAGCTTTTCCACTTCGGGATGCAAATATAGCGGGAATACGTCCATAAATCGCTTTTATTTCCACATATAGGAGTAACGATTACGCATAGCTTAATGAAATTCAGGATGACGCAGCATATCAGAAATAGATGATCAAGCCCTGTGTGGAACGTACCAGATTTTGGAAACGTGTGGCACGAAGTCAACAAATCCCATCAACTCCAAATCGAAGACAGCAAGGGATTCATGCAGGCATGGGCCACTTCCTGAGTTTTCTAACGCCAGCGACATTGATGAATTAATTATCGGGCAAGAACACAATCACATTATTTTGTACTCAATAACCTCCAGGAAATGTACAAATTAAAACAAATGAATGGGTGAACTTTGCGAAGAAGGCAAGTGCTTGAAAGCAAAAACTCTAATAAAGTTTCAAATACAATTTTGAGTTTCACCTTGAACAAGGCAGCAAAGCTGTCAAATGTACAGACAAAAAGCAGAATATAATAATGCACAAAATAGGATACTGTCAATTTTGATGCAATAATACATTATGCTTTACTGCAAAGTTAAAGTCAAATTTAAATTATGCACAATAGGTAATACCGATGAAAGTAAAAGCATAAGGCTTCAGGCCCATGAGAGTTCAAGTTCATACTTAGAAAATGCCAGAATGAGAAAAATGAGAATTTCACAAAAAGGTGCATTAATTCAATAAAAAATGATAATTCAATAGAGCTGTTTTTCTTATTTGAGCTGTATGTCAGTCCTAAGAATAATTCTTTTAAGCTAAAAAAAAATAATAAATAAGTAACACAGTTTTCTTTTTATCATAACGTTTGCGATGACAGTACCACGAAGTTGGCTTTTTTGTCAATTTTGATGCGATATTACATAATGATTAACTATAATTACCACCATTTATCTTCTATTAATAACATGGTCATTCAGAAAATGTGATTACCACTGGGCATCATGCCCATGGGAGTTCCAAGTCTCACATTGAAAACGCCAATATGTGAAAGATAACAATTTTACAAACATGTACAACAGAAAAAGAAGCCAATTAGATTGCTTTTCCAACACAGGCTGCATTTTAGTCCTGTGTGTCTCTCCTGTAAGTTTAAGAAGAGTAAGTGACATGGTTTTTCTTTAATGGTTACTATAAAAGCAGTGTCCAAAATAGAGGTTTCTTCATTTTCGTTGCAATATTACATAATGCTTAACAGCATAATGACCATCAATTTAAATAATAAAATAAAAGTATCACGGATATTCAGACTAGCAAAGGTCTTCAAGCCAATGGAAGTTCAAAGTGACACCTTGAAAATGTCGATATGTGAAAAATTAAAGGATGAGTGCAGATAACCATTGGCAAAGTGACCATCGTCAATTTTTTAAAATAATTTGCTACTATTAAGTTTATGCATATATTTGTTGTGTGAAAAAATATTATTTGGTTTGAGGCATCGTAACTTAGTATTTTTAATGAGTTATATGTGGGGGTGGGGGTAACCAGATTTACCTGTTGTATGCAGTCTAATATGAATCAGAGCTACTTATTTCAGCATATATCTTACATAAATAATTTTTTCTAATGAAACTTGTCTTGTGGTGAAAAAAAAGAGTTATATGTTAAATAATTGTGGTGTGGCAAAAGTAAATGGGAAAGTAATTGTTTTTTTTAATCCTAGAGAAGAGAGGTAGGGGTGGTGTATTACGATATTTTCTCACAGAAACCATCACTGATTTCACTTTACTGTATAAAAGTCTTGTAACTAGAAAAACTTGTTTCAGCGTATTTATTAATTTTATATAACTTTTCTCACAGACCAGCATTTGTTGGTCTAAATAATTGTATTGTTAACCAATACACATTTTTTATACAATGCTCTATGGAATAGTAAAAAATGCTAAAAGTAAAAGTCTGTTACAGTAACACAAAAAATCATGTGTAAATGCACTCGAAACAGCTATTTGGAATGTTTCCATTAACCATAAAATAAACAAGGTGTAAATTGTACCAAAATAATGATAAGGTAAAAGTAAAAACCAAATGAAAATATAGTACACGTAAGAACAGTTATGGCCAATAATCTGTGTGACAATGAAAATAAATCACCTAAAAAGTACTTCATATATGATTATGTATGTGATAAAGACCTTGTATAGAATGCAATGCAAGAGTTATTTTATACAAAATATATAAATATGAGAATAAAAAATGTAAAGGAACAATAGATAATTAATCAGATGTGCTGTCTGAAACACTTTCTGTCCCGCTAATACTCTCACCACTTGATGTTGGTTAATGTGAGGCATCCAAACAGCCTTCGCCACAACATAATTTTTTATTGTACCTACCCCTGCCTCATGGCAAACCCCATATACCACAGAACTAAAGTGATATGTGCACAACTTCCAACTGTCTTGGAAACCTGCTTTACACTGACAGTACCAGCCACTGAGGGTCTAGTTTTGCTATGGGAGGTCTGAATCCATAATGTGTACTGGTGGCTAGATGTGTGCCTTAATTAACTATTTTGGCTCTGATTAAATCAGGTGCATCCTTGCATACATTGATTTCGAACTGGCCATCTAGCAGATGCTCATCAGTATATTGGCCAGCTTGCTTTATCTGGTAAACTTCTGGTAATTATTATAGGGTGATGGTCTCTTGTTTGGACTAGGCTATTTACCAAGTCAATAGGTTTTCACTTATCTCCTTGCCAACAAAAGCCATTTATAGCATTTTGGTGAAAAAAACTACAAAGCTATTACGAATAGCGCTGGTGTGGAAGATTAGGTCATAAGTAATAAATCTAGGGTGTGTATGGTGGAGCCTTTTATTTTACTTTTTATGCAAAATAGACGTAAAAGGGGATATTTACACAACAATTTTGGTTGTACAAAATGTTTTTTCATGCCCATTAGAGGGGTTTGGGTCAAGCCACCCTTATGCTTAGCGTTCGAGACCTGTCGTTCCGGTGTCACGAAACTGAGTGTCCGTGTGACAGAAAGTTTGCCCTCCATATATTTATAATGGTTAGGGTTAGTCTGACCTAAGTGGGTCAAAATCTAGGGCGAGGCTCATCTGTACAAAGCGGACTCTCTGTCATTGGGGACTTTCTGGTACATGACACTGGACCCCCCTTCAAATAATCCTGGATCCGCCCCTGAAACTCATCAATTTAGGAAATTTATCTTTAATAAGAATATAAATATGTATCGGCTAAAATATTAGTTTTCATAGTTTTTTGTCTATTCCGGTAGGGGGTAGAAGTAGGGGAATGATCAGACCTTCAATTACCCATTTTTCACAGATTTTCACAATCCCCCATTATTTGATTGACATCACTAAACAGGCTTCATCTTTAAGTAGCAAAACCACCTATTCTACGCACATCACACGAGTGAAATCGAAAAGTTATCAACGGCACATGTTTCATCA